TTAAGACAAAATGGAAAAGCAAAGGACAAATATTGAGGGCCTGCAATATGCCAGGAACTAGACTGGGTAATTTATATAGGTCATCCCCTTTAGTCCTCACAAATCCTATGAAATGGGTATTCTTATCTCCATTTGAAAGATAAAAAAGCTGAGCTAGGTGAGCTAACTGACCAAAAGTAACACAAAGGAGAAATGAAAGGAAAGGACTCAAATCCAACTCTGTGGCATCAACACTCAGGCTCTGAGAGGCTTATAATGAAGATAAAATCTGGAAACCACCCAAATGGCAACACATGAATTAATGAAACAAATTGCAGTATATCCATACAAAACAGTCATGGCAAATGATGGTATAGAGCTATTTATACTGACCTGAAAAGATGTTAATTTGTCACAGAAAAATAATATTATAAAAATAGAATATATGATCCTTTTATATATATATACATATAATTGTATATTTGCATTTAAGAACTTATCACTGGGTATCAGGATCTGAATTATGTTTCCTCTCGTTAGTCATTTACAGCTGATCTACAATGAGCTTGTACCACCTGGGTGGTTAGATGGATGAGTAGACTGAGAGATACACAGATACATAGAAGGATATAGGATAAATATATTTTAATAGTTAGAATTTAAAGACCAAGTGTTTAATTCTTGGATTGGCTTTTCCTCCCTTCCATCTTTCACTCTTCCCAGTCCCCCACCTGTATTTCCTGGGATCACATCCCAAAATAAACAACTTGCATGCTAAATAAATAAAGACTATTTAGTGTTTAAAAAATGAGATGGCCAGCACATCTGATATCTGAAAAGTTCTATTTATATACTTTAAGAACCACCATGGAATATTACTCAGCCATTAAAGAGAATTCATTTGAAACAGTTCTAATGAGATGGATGAAACTGGAGCCCATTATACAGAGTGAAGTAAGCCAGAAAGATAAAGAGCATTACAGCATACTAACACATATATATGGGATTTAGAAAGATGGTAATGATAACCCTATATGCAAAACAGAAAAAGAGACACAGATTAAAAAAAAAAAAAAAGAATATCTGGGCTTCCCTGGTGGCCAGGTAGTAAAGAATCTGCCTGCCAATGCAGGAGACGCCGGTTCAATCCCTGATTTGGCACAACGTAACTAAGCCTGGGTGCCATAACTATGGAGCCTGTGCTCTAGAGCCCATGAGCTGCGACTACTGAGCCCACGGGCCACGGCTCCTGAAGCTGAGCGCCCCAGAGCTTGTGCTCTGCAGCAAGAGAAGCCACTGCAGTGAGAAGCCTGCCCACCGCAACGAGAGAAAACGCCCACTCACCGCAACGAGAGAAAAGCCCACACAGCAACGAAGACTCAGCACAGCCAACAATAAAGTTCTTCCTTTAAAAAAATCTAATTATCTGCAACATATTTGCAGAGTTCAGAAAGATATATATCTATAAATCTGTGTGTTGGTATCATAACATTTACATATTTTATCCATATGTATAAATATAAATATATAGACAGAGAATGAGATAATATCTCTACATTTACAGAGAGAATGAAAGAATAATATGATAAAGAAAATACAGCAAAACAGCATCAGGAAATCTGTGTAGAGAGTATATAGGAGTTCCTTATACTATTGTTTCAACTTTTAAGTCTGAATTACCTCAGAATTTAAAAGTTCAAAGAATACATATTTTATATTTCAAGCACGTACATCTGGCATAAGATGATACTAATTTAAAAAGAGACCCTACTCCACCATTTGCTCTCCTTCTTGGCACTTGAAGCAAGAGCCCTATGACTGATTTCTTAATTCATCCTTTACAGTGCATGTCAAACTAGAGATTTACTTGTCTGTGTCCTTCCCAGAGGATAGAAATACACGGGGAGCCTCCCACTTTGTTTCACAAGACCAACACAATCTTGATAACAGAATTTGACAAGCCAAGCACACAAAAATCCATGGACCAACATCAATCATAAATACAGACACAAATGTAAGAAACAATTCAATTCTAGCAATGGCTTAAAAGAAAATAATAAACCATTCACATGCAGGATTTATTTCAAGATTATAAGGTTAATTCAGCATGAGGAAATCTAGAGAAGTTAAATGAGATACTCCATGTGAGTCTCTTGATAAACAGTGAAGAGATTTTTCTTGAGCAACACTTTTTGCAAACTAGGAATAACAGAACACAATAAAAAATACTAAAAACAAAGAAAAAGTGCATTGGGAGTAAATGCTAGAGTCATTACAACTCAAGCTAAGAATATTATGCCCATTATCATTGCTATAATTCAACATTATTCTGAGGCTCTAGTCAATTATGGTAAAAGGAAAGGAAGAGACAAAAATTGTAATTATTTCTTAATTTCATGATTACCTTTCAAAAAATCCCCAAAAAGCTATCAGTTAATAAAATAGCTATAATTAGATCCAATATAGATATAGCAAAGCTTTACAACAGGCATCAGGAGTTGGCAGACTTCCTCCATGAAGGTCAGAGAGTAAATATTTTAAGCTTTGCCTGTCATATGGGCTTTCCAGGTCATATGGTCTCTACAGCAACTTCTCAGTTCTGACGGTATGGTGCAAAAGCAGCCATTGATAATGTATAAATGGATGGATGTGGCTGTCTTCCAATGAAACTTTATTTACAAAAACAGGCAGTGGTGTGGATTTGGCCCATGGGCCACAGTTGGCTGACCACTACTCTATACCAGAAAAAAAACAGGTGATTGAGAAAAGTTGCCATTTAAAGCAGCAAGAAAATATATGAAGACCTAGAAACAACTTTCTAAAGGACCATTCTGCTATATGCAACAAAAATGAAACCATGAATACTCTTTCAACACAGTGATTTCACTTCTGGGAATTTATCCTAAGAATACATTTAGATAAGGCCATAAAGATGTGCAAACTTAGGTATTTATTATAGTGTTATTTATAATAAGGAAAGATGTCTACTGACATAATCCACATCTATGAGGAATACATCATTTGTTAAAGCAGCTGACGGAGCAGCATGCATAATATCAGCTATTTTTATTTTTTTAAATATATGGCTGTGCATATGACATTATGCATATGTATCCACACGTGGGGAAAAAACCTGGGAAGATATATACCAACTGCTTTATTAGCAGGTATTTCTAGGAGTGGATTTAAGTGTGGATTTCTTTTTACTTTTTGCATGTTATTTTTGCTCCTTTTTATTTTCATAACTAAGCTTAGAAATAACAGTTTTTCATTTTTAAAAGTAGAAAAAAAAACTTGTGCTGCTCTGAACAATTTACTCTTATTTTTATTAATTTTAGCCCACATACAGTATCTTCCTCAAACAAAATTCATCGATACTGACTTTAGTTTTTACAGTAAGACATTCCCAGAAATTCTTTAAATTATAACAGCTTCATGCCCTGAAGATAGAAATCTTTGGTCTATAACTAATATGAAATGATCATCTGTCTGGAAATACTTTTTCTTATCCTTCAGTGATACATCTGCTTATTGGATTGTGTGTGTGCACACATCTTTCTGTCTAGGAAGAAAATAAGCCAAAGAAGGGAAATAGGAAACAGGCAAGAATGGTGGGTAAAGGACCAACACAAGTTAATATCCTACAGGGAAATAAGTCTTAGTAAATTCACTCTTCAAGGTCCTATTTACAGTGCCATAGCACAGAAATAGCACCTGTTGGGTTATGGGAAAACGCTAACATTCTTCCAAATTCCCACTTATAACTCATGAAGACTAAGTTTCAGCCTTCTAGTCTAAAATATAAGTCCATATGGTTTATATCTAATTGTGAGATGTAAGCACATTTTTCCCTACAATTTACAATATGTGATAGTTGCTTAGTTGTGTCTGACTCTTTGTGACCCCTGGACTGTAGCCCACCAGGCTCCTCTGTCCATGGGATTCTCCAGGCAAGAATACTGGAGTAGATTGCCATTTCCTTCTCCAGGAGATCTTCCTGACCCAGGGATCTAACCCAGGTTTCCTGCACTGCAGCAGATTCTTTACCATCTGAGCTATAGGGAAGTCTCTATAACTGACAATAGGTATTTAATTATTCTGCCAATGATTTTGGATGTTATATACATGAATTGATACATACTTAATTTTTATTAAAATTGATTAAATTAATTCTTTAAATCTTGGGGGAAATGTTATGGAGGAAAAATAAAAATGATTATTCTCAAAAATTTTCAGGAATTCTTTTAGGTGTGCTACTGAATGCTAGCTGTATGGCATAATTGAGTTATAAGAAAGTGAAAAAAATACCATTTTTGCCTTTTCAAAACAATCACCTCACTTGGCCTTGAAAATCTCCCTACTTCCAGCCTGAAGTGCTTTTCTCCAACAGCTCAGCATAAAAATGAGATCAATTGTGAGCAGAAGATCCTCTAGCAAAAGACATTTCCAACTTTTGAAGAGTATGTGTATGTGCAGGCATATGTGAGTATGTGTGTGTGAGCTTGTCATTGTTTGAGAGGCCATGGGAGAAAGGACAGTCTCCCCAGAGCCAACTTAGCATTTAACAGGAACAATATGACAAATACAAGGTCATCCAGAGTTCTCAAAAGTTATGTCAAAAGACAATGAAGTGTTAAGTACATGTTGTAAACCATGAAAATCCAGGACACAATGAGCAAGTGATGAAGTTTGCTCTGAACATAACAGACAAATAAGTATACTGATATAACATGATTTTCATTAACTATTCCTTTGCTCCCAACCTCAATCAAATGCTATTTATCCTTCAGCAGCAAAACTTAATACTATCAAATGTGTACATGAGCTATGCCAGGCTTGCACTGAGATCTGAGAGACTGGAATTCTATAACTTTCCTTCCAATCTTCCTTTTTAAAAAATCTTAGAAATGAATTTAGTATAGTTAAAAAGTGAGCAGTCATGCTTCAAATCCAAAACTATGTTTTTCTTGTCAAATACTGCTCTCTGTAAAGTGCATCACCAAACCCCAGCAGAAACTTACCCTTCAACTTGAGGTCGACATTACGTCTGAGCCAAGGATAAATTCCATAGCTTGGCATATCTTCAGGAATTGGATTACTGTGTATCCAGCCATCACAAGCAAACCGGAAGAAATTATCACAAGGGTCCACAGACAGATTTACTTTACTTAAGATGGAAGCAGCTATTTAAAAAGAAAATCATAGGATTAATGACAAGCACTGAACATTGTGTACTGGCCTCTTCCAAATTAAACAACAATTTCATATCAACCAGTGCCCAAGCCTTGGTTTTCACATTTCCCCTCAAATGACTCCCTAAATCAACTTTATCATATTAAACTACTACATTCAGACTGAGTGGATAAAAGTTTGGTGGTATTATTGTTATTGGTTTTTGCAGGACCACACCTAACTTCTGTTTCAGCAATACAAATAGAGTGGACAGGTAAGTTGTCTGCCAGAATGCATGTGATATTTCCTTCCATTCCTTTCATTCTTCTGCAAGGTGATTTTGCCACTCTTTCCACCAGCATCTATTTCCCCTGACTTGAATCTGCGCTGGCCTTATAACTTCCTTTGACCAGAAGAAAGTGGCAGGGCAACTTTTCGTGAGTTTCAAAGCTAGGCCTTAAGAGGCCTTTCATCTTCCATGTTAAATCCCTTCGAATGGAGCCCTGAAACTGCCCTCTGAAGAGGAGGAGGTAAGGCCACATGAAGAAAAACCAAGCCACCACCAAAGGCCAGGCATGTGCCTGAGACTATCATGGACCTTTCAGGCCAGGCAAGCCTCCAGCTGAATGCAGCTATATGAATGAGCCTAAGGCAATCTCCACAGAGGAACCCCACCAAACCCAAGTCATCGTAAGAAATATTAAATCACTCATTTCAGGCCTTTAAGGTTTGGGGTGATTTGTTCCACAACAAAGACTAACTGAAACAGAGGCCCACATGCAATATCTAAATTTTTAAAATATCTATTTGCAATATGTTAATACTTTCATAAAGACCTGGAGAGCCAGGTATGGATTCTTGAACCCCTTGACATTTAGGGAAGCTCTCAGAGAAATGAACCCCTGGACGAGATCAAAGAGTCCCTGAAAGGAAGCTTGGAGCCATCTTACAGGGGATTCTGGGTTGCAGAAGAAGAGGGTTGCTGTTTTGGCCCCACAGACTCCTTGTCCAGGGGAGAGGCATGGCCAGAGCAGGGCAAAGTGGAGCTTTCCAAATGAGGAGCCCAGGGCAGATGCCTCTCTTGCCCAAGTCTAGGGACAGAACTGGCTATCTGTATAAGTTAACAGAAAAACACAGTAGACTAATCTGCCATTTTTTCCTTTCTTAAAGCCACACTCAATTACATATGGAAGATAATCAATAGGAAGTTTATGCATACCTAAATATGTATCCATAAACTTAAAAAAAAAATCTTTCATTACAAAATGAGAAGGTCCCCAAATTCCTAATACTGAACTCCAACTCTCTTTCAAGTGCTAGCTACTACTCTAACCTAAAGATATGCACCAAACAATTTTTTTTAAGGGCAGCCAATATTTTAATGACACTGGAAAGATGACATCCTGGGTGATTTTTATACTTAATTAATACCAGAATACATTTATGTTTGAAGTAATGGCAACCCAATGAGTTTTCAGTTAAACAGGAATGACTAGCCAAAAAAGTATAATCTGCATAAATGTAGATATGCATACTACAGTTTGGTTATGTGTGGCTCCTCCGGGTTTAAAAGTAAGGCTACTTATTTCCTTAGCCTAGACATTCTATGAAAATTTCAAAGAGCTTTATGTCTTTGATGAAGTGAATAATATACAAGCATCCTAATCGCTACAGAACTTCAAATTCCCCACCACTTTTAATCCTTCCACACACTCCCCCACAAATCAAAAAAAAAAGAAATGGTTTAGAATCTAAGTTTGACAAATTTTAAATTAACTTAATATTTTAATCTTCCTTCTTTTTTAATTAATTTACTTATTTTAGTTGGAGGCTAATTACTTCACAGTATTGTAGTGGTTTTTACCATACAGTGACATGAATCAGCCATGGGTGTACATGTGTTCCCCATCCTGAACCCCCCTCCCACCTCCCTCCCCATCCCATCCCTCAGGGTCATCCCAGTGCACCAGCCCTGAGCACCCTGTCTCATGCATCGAACCTGGACTGGCAATCTATTTCACATATGGTAATATACACATTTCAATGCTCTTCTTTCAAATCATCCTACCCTTGCCTTCTCCCACAGAGTCCAAAAGTCTGTTCTTTACATCTGTGTCTCTTTTGCTATCTCACATATAGGGTCATCATTACCATCTTTCTAAATTCCATATATATGTGTTAGTATACTGTATTGGTGTTTCTCTTTCTGACTTACTTCACTCTGTATAATGGGCTCCAGTTTCATCCACCTCATTAGAACTGATCCCAAAATATGGAATGCTTCACAAATTTGTGTGTCATCCTTGCACAGGGGCCATGCTAATCTTCTCTGTATCATTCCAATTTTAGTATATGTGCTGCCAAAGCGAGCACAATATTTTTATCTTTCAAAATTAATTAGGTTGTCTCCAATTACAATTTTTATTTCTGCTACTATTTCATCACTAATATATAATATGCAAATATGTTAGGGCACAAAGTTTTCATTTTAGTTTACATTTATGGTTAATCAGGCTCTGCAGTCACAGAATGAATCTGCAGTGTGACACCTCAGGGACATGGATCATAGAAGTTTCAGTCCCACACAATATTTAGAGTCACACAAAGGAACCTGCACACACATTTGTATTCACATAAGCACACTGTTTTCTGGCTACCTTCCCAAATCCCCCAGCCCCCAACCCTCAAATGTATCCCATCTCCTCAGTATTCTTGCAGGTATCTAAACTGCAAGATCAGCTCTGACCTCAGTCCTGATAGAAAGTGGGGAATACATCACTCACACTGAATTTGGAACCGAGCCCACTAAGTGGAAAAACTCCAGCTACAGCCTCTCAATTCATCATTCACAGTTCACAGCTGGGCACAGGGTTGCACTTTCTGCAGAGGAGCTGTGACTTAAAATTGCAAGGGACCATAATTGTCAAGACACCAAAACTCCTTTCCCCCTACTCAGTTCATGGATAAAACTCAAAGAGTCTTGTTTTAACAAAAGAAATACGACAACAAAGAAACTCTGTGAAACGCCAGGCTATGTATTCCCTCAAGTCATCACATACAAGACAAATTGTTATTTGGTCTCCAGCTAGCATTTGTGTAGTAGAAGTGGAGGCCCTATTCCTTATACCAGCCTGACTTTTTCAAGTTTAACCAGGGCTAAAAGGGGTGGGATGGGTGGTAACAATAAGATCACTAATACTGAGCAGTTTCCCTCTGCACCAGGAACCATGTTAAGCCCTTCTCAGGCAGTGTGGCCTCATCACATACTCCAGACCCAGACCACCTGGTTTTGAATGCCAACAACACCATGCAATAACTATGCAACCTTAGGTAGGTTACTTAGCCTCTCTGTATTTTAGTTTCCTCATCTGTAAAATGGGGTAATAAAAGCACCACATAGGATTTTCATAAGAATTAAATGAGTACATGTAAAGCACTTAGAACAGTGTCAGGCACACTGCCAAATAAATACAGTTGCCAGATAAAGTACAGAATACCTACTGATATTTGCATTTCATATAAATGACTACTTTCATAGTGCAGGTGCTACCAAATATTTCATGGACCATACTTGTACCAAAAAAATTGTTATTGTATATCTGCAATTCAATTCAAATCCTGAATGTATGCATGTAGCTAAATCTGGCAACCATACATACAAATTTGCTATTACAATTTCACAAACACTCATGCTAAACTCTTGAGGCCAGATGTTTCAGAGCTCATAGAGTCTAGAAAAGCAATGCAATGCATAAACCACAGATGATATAATACTGCCAGCAATGTCTTAAGTAGCACTCCTGAAGCAAACACATTAATAATTCTATAGGGAATAGTGCGCATTCTCTGAAGAGGGATGAACAAAGCCTAAAACAGCCTCACATGAGTTAAGATACAGTTTTGCCATCACAAGAATTGACGCCAGGTCCAGTCTTGCCAACTGAGTTACAATGCTCTCTGAGTAAGGGGTAAAGGGTAAGACATCATAGACCTCAACTTCTAGTACTACCACCATCATTATTTTCTTCTATTCTCATAACCAGTATGATAAATTAAAAACTCTTCCCTGGTGGCTCAGTAGTAAAGAATCTGCCTGCCAATGCAGGAGAAGTGGGTTCAATCCCTGATCGGTAACATCTCACATGCTGCAAAGCAATTAAGCCCTATGGGCCACAACGATTAAGCCTGTGCTCTGTAACAAGAGAAGCCACCACAGTAAGTCCGCTCACCACAACTAGAGAGTACCCTCTGCTCTCCACAACTAGAGAAAGTCCATGGAAGCAACAAAGGCCCAGTGCAGAAAAAAAAAAATCTTTTTCCCATTTTACAGATTGTGAAACTGAGCCACAGGTGGGTTTATGTATTTAGCCCAGCGCACACAGCCTGTATGATCAGCCTTCGAACTCAAGTCAGCCTCTCTGCTCTTATCCATCACCACCACTGTCATTAACAAGCCCTTTCCTTGTCTCCTCACTTCTTTGTATTCTTTCTCCATCTGTTATTCTGAAAGAGGGATTAGGATGTGACTAGAAAAGAGAAGAAATGGAACAGTAAGGAAAGAAGGCACCTCAGACAAGATGGCACCTGCTCGCAAAATGCCCAGAACGCCCTCCTCCCAAACATCATCCTACAGGTTAACACAAGCACACGGTGCCAAGGCAGACACTCACACGATGCATGTTGTGCTGAAGCAGGCACACACGCGATGCACGTGGCGCTGAGGCAGGCATGCACGAGATGCACATGGCACCGAGGCACGCACGCACGCAGGACTAAGGCATGCACGCACACAATGCACGTGGTGCACGCGGCAAAAAGACACGCACGCACACAGCACTGAGGCACGCATGCACATGACGTATGCGGCGCTGAGGCACGCACGCACGTGGCGCTGAGGCATGCACGCACGTGACGCACACAGCACCGAGACATACACACGCATGTGATGCACGTGGCACCGAAGCAGGCAGGCACGCACGTCACGCACGCGGTGCCGAGGCAGGCACGCACGTCACGCACGCGGTGCCGAGGCTGGCACGCACGTCACGCACACGGCGCCAACGCAGGCACGCACGTCACGCACGCACGTCACGCACACGGCGCCGACGCAGGCACGCACGTGACGCACGCGGCACCGAAGCAGGCACACACATCACGCACATGGCGCCGACGCAGGCACGCATGTCACGCACGCACGTCACGCACGCGGTGCCGAGGCAGGCACGCACGTCACGCACGCGGCGCCGAGGCTGGCACGCACGTCATGACGGCGCCGAAGCAGGCACGCACGTCATGCACATGGCGCCGAGGCAGGCACGCACGTGGCGCAGAGGCTGGCACGCACGTCACGCACACGGCGCCGACGCAGGCATGCACGTCACGCACGCACATCACACACGCGGCGCCGACGCAGGCACGCACGTCACGCACATGGCGCCGACGCAGGCACGCATGTCACGCACGCACGTCACGCACGCGGTGCCGAGGCAGGCACGCACGTGACGCACGCGGCGCAGAGGCAGGCATGCACGTGGCACCGAGGCTGGCACACACGTCACGCACGTGGCGCCGAGGCTGGCACGCACGTCACGCACATGGCGCCGACGCAGGCACGCACGTCACGCATGCACGTCACGCACTTCACGCACATGGCGCCGACGCAGGCACGCACGTCACGCATGCACGCGCCGAGGCAGGCACACACGTGACGCACGTGGCGCCGAGGCAGGCAGGCACGTCACGCACGCGGCGCCGAGGCAGGCATGCACGCGCACACAGCAAGGCTTACACTAAAAACAGCTAGCAAGGGAAACAAGCTGGCAGGAAGCAACGGGATCAGTGTCACTCTTCAGGCTTTACTGTTTCATTATTGTGGTTCGTAGTAGAGACAAAACTCATGAAATAAGTGGTCCTCAATACAAAAACTCAAGTAAACTCAAATTGAAAGTTTGAGTTCAAAAATGTAAATTTCACACATCTGCGAGAACCGTTCATAGCCAAAGCACAAAGGGACGTCGGGTCTAAAAGTTGTCCTCTGATAATCCTACCTGGTCCTTCACCCTACTCCAGGTCACCCTCGCTCCACTGGAGAAAACCCTGGGTCATCTGCTCTGCTGGGAACAAGAAAGGACCTAGGAATTTGCACTTCTTTTTCACCCTTTCTGGGACAAGATCAAAAAGCTGCAACAGTGGTCTAGTCACTAGACTCCAGTAGGTCTAATGTTATGAAAAAATAGAGCAAGACAGGACTAAGATCCAAGAAAATTACCTGGCATGGCCTCTGGTGCACAGGCACAGATGGACAGAAGCCAGACATGAACTTGAAGCCCAGCCCTGCCGCTAACTCAGGTTGTGACCCTTAGCAAGCTATTTAGCTTTTGGAAGCCTACATTTCCTCATCTGCAGTTGGGCCAGGTGATAGTACCAACTTCATGGGTTCTTATGAAGATTTTATGAGATGACACATGTAAGTCACTGAACATATTGCCTGGTTAAAAGTCTGTGTGTGTGTGTGTGTGTGTGTGTGTGTGTGTGTGTGTGTGTGTAATTAAAGAATGAGACCCCCCCCCCCAAAAAAAAAGAATAGACTGGTGGTTGTCAAGGAGTGTGGGATTAGCAGATGTAAACTATTTTACATATAGGATGGTTAACAGGGTCCTACTGTATAGCACAGGGAACTAAATTCAGTGATGGTGGTGGTTTAGTTGCTAAATCGTGTCCAACTCTTGTGACCCCATGGACTGTAACCTGCCAGGCTCCTCTATCCCTGGGATTTCCTAGGTAAGGATGCTAGAGTTGCTTGCCATTTCCTTCTCTGGGGGATCTTACCAACCCAAGGATCCAACTCAGGTCTCCTGCATTGCAGGTGGTCTCCTGCATTACAGGAGGATTCTTTACCAATTGAACCACCAGGGAAGCCTGTGATAAACTATGATGGAAAAGAATGTTTATATATAGTGTGTGTGTGTATATATATATATATATATATATATATAATGTAGTATAAATATATACTATATATAGTGTGTGTATATGTAGTATAACTGAGATTGCTGTACAGCAGTAATTAACACATTGCAATTCAACTATACTTCAATTTTAAGTTTTTAAAAAGAACTCTAATAACACAACTATCTAACCTAGTATCTTTATAAAGCCTCAGAGTTCAAAAGCCCTTTTACCTATGTCTTTTCCATTTTAATCAATGCCACCGCCAAAAATCTAAGTATTTCCTTGATTCTCTGTATTTTTTTTTTATAGCCCACATCCAGCTAAGGTGATAGGAATGTCAATGGCCTGTGTCTTCAGGTTTTAAGAAAGACCATTCAGCCTTCCACATCCCTTTCTGATTTCCTTATAATGACTTGGAATACTGCATAGCTGTTTTATTGCAAGGGGAAAAAAAAAAGAACAGGAAACCTATGTTCCACAACTTCACACCAAGACTTGAAAGTAAAGTTAAAATTTCATCAGAATTGCATTTCATACTTAGTAAACCTCAAACAAGCAAAATACTAAAAATACCACCTGTTTTCTCTTCCACTCCCCAAGGTACCATAATTATAACTTGACACAGGGTGGAAAACTGACTTACCAGCTTCGATGCATTCTGGCTTCAGGCAGTACTCTGGTTTAGCATGGAGACTTAAGAAACCTTGACTCACTGAAAAAACAGACCAAAATAAATGACTGGCTTGCAGCAGACCACCAACAGGTAACCCACTGTCAGGCACACTTATGAGACGTTTGATATCTATTCATCCTTCCCTGTATTGACACCACATTCAAAAATCCACTTGGCTCAGTGTCACAGAACCAGAATCTGGTCACTAGCTAAGCAACCTTGGTGAGACTCTTGGTTGCTCCCAAACTTGGTTTGCTTGAACGTAAAGACAAGTAGGCACAACTAGGCCAGCGCTTCTTAGAGTGGGGGCCCAGGGGCAAAGGCAGCACAGCAACATCACCTGGGAGCTAATGAGACATGCAGATGACCAAGCCCTACCCTGACCTTCAGACTCACAAACTCTGGGGTGGGGGCCCAACCATCCTCGTTTTATTTACTTAATTTTAATTTATTTATTTGTTTATGGCTTCACTGCTTTGCATGGGCTTTCTCTAGAGAGTTGCGGTGAGTGGGGGCTACTCTCTAGTTGTGGTGCCTGGTCTTCTCATTGCAGTGGCTTCTCTTGTTGCAGAGCACAGTCTCTAGGCTCGTGGGCGTCAATAGTTGTGGCACAGGGACTTAGTTGCCTCACAGCATATGGGATCTTTCTGGACCAGGGATCAAACCCATGTACCCTGCATTGGCAGGCAGACTCTTAACCTCTGGTCCACCAAGGAAGTCCCATTTGCATTTTAACAAGCCCTCCATGTTATTCTGATGCACACTCCAGTTTGAGAACCATTTGGTTAAATAATTCCTAAAGTCTCTTATCTCCGATTATCTGTGGTTTAAGTCTAATCATTTCTCTTTCTGTTTACAACTACATTCTCATTTTAGTGATGAGAAAATTCAAAGTTATAGACTGTGTCATTTGGACTAAATCCAGAGTGGAAGGAGAAAGCTAGCATATGTGGCATTTAAAGTTCTGCATCTTATCTAAACCATTCATACAGATACAGCCCATAAAAGGAGGAAAAGTAACAGTGATTTTTTTTTCTGTCAAGAGAATCATTATCTGCCTGTCCTGTACTCACACCCACCTCCCACCAGGCCCAGCCCAGCTACCACACAGACACAGCTTGGTGGACCAAGTTGCCAACTACTTCCACCAAAACAAAACCAAACAGAAACCCTACAAGACCTAAGTAGCTTTTCACCAATAGCTTCATTTCCCCTTCCTGGCTGGCAACTTTCTGCAAATGTATGGGTGCCCTGTTCGTAAACTTCAGGTAGCACCTAGATGTTAGCAGATATGAGTTTAGACTTTGAAAATATTTGTGGTAGCCAAGGAAATTGTGGGGAATTCATTATTGCTGTACTCTGTGAGCAGAAATAAGGAATCATTTGGAGATGTGGCTGTGGGGAGATGGAAGGTAGAGGGTGAAGGGAGGCCAAGGCCTTTCATGGCATCCTCAGCAGAGAAACAGTATCCTTATGTTTCTGCACATCACCTGCCAGTGTGGCAATTTGTATTATTTATTAACCCACATTCTAAGAGGAGCCTGCTTTTTCTTTGTTCTTTTCTCTGCTGCCATCCTCCAGTCTTTTTACCTGTGTCCCTCCAGTCTTTTTACCTGTGTTACATTAAACATTCAAGAAAACTGCCTGTGAAACAAACATCTCAGGCCTGTTTTTAAGAAAAGAAGTATCTTAATGTTATATTTTTATTTCTTTAGAAATCAAAAAAAGCAAAAATATATATGTGGAGCATAACAATTAGCATGAAATATTTCAATATGCCTTGGTGATTGAACCATAAATTTTCCCTTCAGTCTATTACTATATGTTTACCAAATGTTCTTTAATGAGCATGTCTTTTTTTAATGTCGAAAAAGAAAGTTTATTGCAGATAATATTTTATCATTCTGGACAATACCTTCTTGATACTAACCTTATTTTATTTTAGAAAAAAGATAATAAAATAGTTAAAAATTTATTCCTTTCAAGATACAAACTTCCAGTTATAAAATAAATAGGACATGTGGATGTAACATATAGCCTGGTGACCATGGTTAGTAACACTGTATTGTATATCTGGAAGTTGATAAGAGAGTACATCTTAAAAGTTCTCACCACAAGAAAAAATATTATTTGACAAAAATACCATTTCTTTTTTGAGAGCACGCAACTATTTAAAAGCAAATGTGTCTGAATGTATACATCCAAATGGACATGGCCACCTGAAGCAATACTTCTCAAACTTCAATTTGCAAATGAATCACCTGGGGATCTTGTGAAAAATGCAGATTCTGAATCAGTAGGTCTGGGGTGGGGCTCAGACTCCCAAGTGATGCAGATGCTGCTGGTCCACAGACCACACTTAGGAGTAGCGAAGGCTGAGGGAGAATTATTCTCTAACATCATTACACCTTCTCTTAAAGATTCTAAGTGAGAGAGAGCCAAGTTATCAGACACATTGGAAAGGTATTTTTTTCTATTTATGTAGGCCTCCTTACCCATAATAGCATCAGCTGGCTTGATGAATTTTACTGTGCTTGAAAAACTTTAGAGCTGATCCCAAAGGATCATCTCTCGAAGAACAAAGATTTGGAATCCCCTGATTCTAATGGTTAGGACTTCACATGGTAGAGAGCCTGAGTTCAATCCCTGGTTGGGGAACTAATATCCCACAGCCTGAATGGTGTGGCAAAAAAAAAAATCCTGCCATCAAGAATATTCTAATAATATGCTACAGCCTCAGAACTCCCATAAGAGTGGGAGGAATTTCAAAGAGGCTTCAAGCAGCAGTAACATCATTAAAAAAGAGCACATATCCTTACATAAACAATAATCACTTGGATTTTTAAGTTTGAGAGTGTTTGCAAAACACTGAGAGCCTAACTTTGTAGTCACTTCTGACATAGTGCATAGTCCTTGACATTATCATTTTTCCCCCAGTTGTGAATTTCAGGATAGGACACTTGCCTAAACCCAAAATGCCAAGAAATCTCACAACAGTTTTCAAAAGCCTCAAGTTCAGTTGCAGGAATAGGATTCAGTAATAAACCCATCTAATTTCCTAAATCTTCAGCCACAGAAAACATGGAAAGATGGTTTGCTCATTTTAGCAGTTTTCAACCACACAACCCTAACTTTTTAATGTTTAATTACTGGCTTTCCCTTGCCAAGATAAACATGGCCGCCTGCATCCTGCATATGCCAAGGTCTGTTTCCAGGCTTGCTATATTTCAAACAGCACCTAGACTCTCCTCACGAAAGGGCTTGGACCTACATAATTTTCAAGCTAATGAAATAGTATAGGCCGCAGGAGAAAAATACAAAGGAGAACAGTCAAAGATTCAGAATGCCTAAAATCTTAGAACATCCCTCTCCCCTTTCTAAGATATTTCATTCTTTCTCATAAGAATATGTTTTTATCATCATATATACTCTCTGGGAACATCATTCTCACCAACAGTCATTAAAATCAATGAATCACAATACCTTTCAAATCTTGGGAGGAAAACCTCTGTTTTCCTTCATATTAACTTTTAAATCTAATAAGAGTTAAAATTTTATTCCACCAGAGTTACTAGATTGGAATGGAATTGAAGAATGCCACTAAAGGTCCATTTTTAAAGACTGATTTGTATTTTGTGAGTTAAATTTCATGAGTCATTCAGGCAAACATTGACAAAAATCAAATGGAAAGAAATTCCAGCATGGTTTGATCACAATGTAAAGTCTTTCCTCACAAAATAAATGAAAGTATCTGACTATGAATTCATCAACACTCATTTTGCTAAATGTAATGCATAGTAAAATGTTTGCCTGAGGCAACCAAGTCCTCCAGCCACTCGAAACCACTTTATACCCACTTCACATTTTGGATTATGTGTTTGGTAGTTGGGCATTCATATTTATTTACCTTTCTAAAGAAAAAGCTTCCTTTCATTTGCATATTTAATAGAAACTAAGGATGCACCACCTACTAACACCAGCAAACAGCCTTCCACCTGCATCCTGACAAGGTTTGCCAGAATTCAGCACAAGGAAACTACTGCACACTCACCCAGTTCACTGGCCTCCAGCGCCCCACTTACCTAGAAAGAGGACTATGCCCAGCACCAGGGTGCCACCAATGAACACGACCAGGGCGATTCGAGTGCCTCTGTTGGCTGTCTTTCCGATCTCCATGCTGCTCCCTGTTTCTGCCTCCATCGGGAGAGACAGAGAGGCCAGTCAAGAAGAAAGTCGGTTTTTGTGGTTTGGTGGCTGGTCTCAAGAGTCTGTTAGGCGTTGACATCCAAGGTTCTCATGCTCTTTACTAATGGACAGGTTAAAAAAAAAAAATCCCGTCAGGAAATGTCCTCTCGCCACCCTTTCTCAAATAATTCTTCACAAATGAAATGAAACCCAAAATATTGGTTGCCTTGCCTTTCCCCCTGACCAGACAAAACAAACAGTGGTTGCTTTATCTTGGTGCTCTCCCCCAGCAAAGTCCCTCTCAACCGACCGTTTGGCAGGCTCTTCTCTCAGGCGTTCCGAGTGTACATGTTTTACTATGTTGCTGAACAGATGTTTTAGCTATTTAAATGTATAGTCACTTGGGGAGGAAAACACAATTGTCTTTATCAAAACTGGATTCTCGTCAAACTCCCCCAAACCATGATAAGTTAGGTGGCAAGGATTCTTCGGACCCACTTCAAGATCTCAAAGAATCATATAATTCTTTTGCCATAAGCATTCTGCTCGCCTGAATTGTCTTCATCAAAGATATTCTTGCAGCGTGCAAGTCCCCTTTTAAAGCCTTCTAAGAGTTCCGGGGATATCCTGGAGCACTTTATTTTCGGAACTTTGTGTATGACAGCATGTGCCAAAAATCAGAGTCATAGCCCAGTGCGGTGCAAAGTAGCAATTAAGACAACCTACAGAGGCTGATGGTTTGGATTGGAACTTGTTTTTAAGGAAGAAGGAGAAGCACTTCCTTTCTGTGGTGCTAAGAATTGTAAAAAGGCGAGTAAGTGTTCAAATTAAGCTTATTAGCAAGCACAGAAGATATGGCAAGAGGGTTTTTCCTTGTGTGTTTTGATGAAAAACACCCATGCATTTTGCCCTCCAGCCCCACCACCGGTTAGTACATTCTTGTGTTTTCATCAAGCCCCCGTCTCAGCAGGTTCCCCAGGATGAACTCAGAGGTTATTGATTTCCCTGGAAAGACTGATTAATAACTGGTTCTTTGATTTCTTGGATTATACTAACAATTTAAGTGATAAAAATCTGCTTTCTTCACGGGGCAGGACAACTGATATTTCAATGTTATTATAACACCTGATTAAGTTTTGCTGGAGGTCATACAACAGTTGGGAGTGGCGCTTAATTCAGCTACATCTGGAAACCAGGAGAATGCTTTTCTTATACAAAACTTCTGCCCACTGCCTTAGGGGTTCATACGAAGGCTCTGCAGACAGTCCTGTAACACCGATTACCTTACTTTCTGCTCATTGCATTCCCCCCCCACCCCCGCCCAAGCCCGAAAAGCACAAGCTTTTGTCCAAATTATGACATCATGGTATGTTGTAGACACTATGTGCTCATCAACTGCTGGTTTATTTTGGTGTTATTGTTCCAATAACACATCCTAGCAGGCCTTTGACTTCTAGGATGGGATCCTCCCAAGAGTTTTGGGACTTGACTCCATAATGCTTCTTAGACTGCAAGCTTCATGAATGAGGTCAGGAATCATATCTGTCAAATTCAGTGCTGCAGCCCCATCAGCCACAGTCTGGCCTGCAACAGTGAAGGGAGAAATACAAGCAATGAAAATTATACCAGTCAGCTCCAGCCACTTACTCTTTAAAAACAGCTTCAGGAACCCCAGACACTAGTGTCTTTCAGCCTCCTGATTCCTTCTAGATGCTCAGATGGTAATAATACTTCACATGAGTATAGCAGTTTCATATCACATTTTAACCCCATGGTAAACCTATATATGGGGCTTCCCTGGTGACTCAGCAATAAAGAATCCATCTGCCAATGCAGGAGACCTGGGTTCGATCCCTGGGTTGGGAACATCCCCTAGAGAAGGAAATGGCAACCCATTCTAGTATTCTTGCCTGGAGAATCACATGGACGGAGGAGCCTGGTGGCTACAGTCCACAGGGCTGCAAAAGAGTTGGACATGACTGAGTGACGAAACATTAACAACAAACCTTTATACTTGCTAGCAAAGGTATTTTTCTCTCTGTTTTGCCCCCAAGAATGCTGAGGTCCAAGGACTGGCCTCTGGTGACACAGGAATATGCACAGGGAAGAGGACAGACTCAGAAGCATGACACCAGGACCACGCCTTCCCTTTCTCCTTCCTTCCAATCTCCTCACGCCTTTCCAGGTCCAGGCCGGTGATTGTGAGTTGACAACTGGAAACCTTGGACTGGCAGTTTCCCCAAAGATGAGGGCAATTGGGACTTAGTCTCTTAGTCTGAAGCACACCTGTCCATCACATAACCACATGGATTCATTCCTGAACACTTGACTGCTCAGTGAAAAGCCTTTAAACCCAAAAATAGCTCCATTACTTGTAACAGGAAAATTATGGCACATTTCATCCCAAGTGAAGATATGCAAACACAGATAGAAAAATGTATTAATTGAACAATGAAATAGGTCTGTTCCAAATGTCGAAAATAAATAGTTCATATAATGTAATGAAGGTTTATTTTACCCACCAAAGGACTAAAGGAAGACATGAGAGTAGGTGGGGATTGGTAGAAGAAAGGGTACAGGTTAATCATTCATCATCAGGTGCATTCCTCATTCTGTGCCATTGTCTGCACTAATTTTTCAACCTTTTCAGAGATGATTATTTTGCACTCAGACTGCACTTAAAAATAAAGTTGTAGTACAGAAAAAACCTTTAGAGCAAAATAAATTCAAAGCACTGTGTACTCACAAGACACAAAAGCAGGGATCTGCAAACTAGGGCACAAGGCCCACTGCCTGTTTTTGTAAATAAAGTTTTATTGGAACAAAGTCATGCCCATTTGTCAATGTATCACCTATGATTGCTTTCATGCAGTGAAGTCAAAGTTGAGTAGTTTTGTGACACAGATGGTATGTGAGGCTTAGAATACTCTGGCCTTCTAAAGTTTACCAATCCCTGAACTAACTGCTGCCTCTTCACCTCACCTACATGGCACACATAAACAAAGCAAAATTGTCACTGACCACACTTGACCCGCTCCTGAAAATCGTTCTACTTGATATTCTGTAAATACAAGCTGTTGTGTCAAGGAAATTGGCCAGTGTGTCTGTGCCTGAAATTGTAATATTGAAGTTACAGCATATTGTTTAGTGTGTTTTGAGGTGAAAAGTCAGTATTCTGCTATTAAAAAGAAGTGGGCTTTGTCCAAAAAATGTATAATTTCTCAATAGCTGTAAAAATTAGTAAAGTAAAAAGTCAGTGTGCAAGTGAGTCTATTAATAGTTGGGTCTGTACCAACCCAGTTGTTTCAGTTAAGAAGCTCCAAGTGACTTCCCTGGTGGTCCAGTGGCTAAGACTACACTCCCAATGCAGGGGTCCATGTTCAAACGCTGGTCAGGAAACTAGACCCAGCATGACACAACTAAGATCTGGTGTCGTCAAATAAATATTTTTAAAAAGAAGAAGAAGCTCCAAGACTATCAGGAACCTTAACTGGAATCAATTAATGAATCAACAGAAGTTTCTTGAGCTTTTCTCAGGTGCCTGGCCCTCTGCAAGTCCTGTGAGGGAAGACAAAGAAACTACACCAGAGATTCCAGACTGGGAAACTGAGCTTGGGCAAGAAAATACGCAAAACGCATGGCAACTTAATTACAGAACACTACAGGCCAGCAAGTGTCTAGAGAAATAGAACTCTCTGAGCAGTAGATTTGTTGGGAAGACTTCCAGAAGGAGGACCTGCAAGACTGGACAGCTTAGGCATAAAAGGAAGGCTTTCAAATAGGCCAAACCCCACCCCAAGAGGGGACTTGCCTGGGCATTCACATCTCTGCCTGCAGAACTCACAGGTGAGACTATTTATCCAGAGACATGAATCTGGCAATCTCAGCCCAACCCCAGTGGCCTGAAGACAACTGGAGGCAAGTCTTTATGCTAGACATGAGTGCATCTGGTCATCACTTGGATGTTCGGGGTCTTCTGTTTCTGGCAGTAAAATCCCATGTGGGCCACAATTTCAGTGAGAGGGAAGGAAATGATTCAAATCCTGAAAAATGTACTCATCCATTCCCTGGAAGCAGGAGGGAGTGAGTGAAGGGAAAAGAGGGAGAGAGAAACTAAACACAGAATTCGAAGCTGGGAGCTGTGACGGGGCTCTGTTATTTGTGGGCAGGTCCATCAGACTATGGAGGGTTCAAGATCCAGGCCTTCCACTAATGAGACTCTACTTATATTATATCTGGTCTTTTACAACATCTTTCTTAGCTAGGTGTTCTGTCTCCTTTTACAGATGAAGAAACTGAAGTTTGGAGCTAGTAAGTAATTTGCCAAGGTCACATAGCAGATATTTATCTTAGGCCTGAGGGGTTTCAAATTCCAGCCTCTTTACTCTGTGCCATGGTACTTGATAAATTTGTTCATCTACCTCAGGTAATTAGCACAGTTAGGCGTAGCATGTCAAAATGACACTTGAGCTGAGGAAAAGCCATAAACTATGCTTCCTCTAATTCTCTTGTTTAAAAGACATGAGGTTTTATTTCCTTAATAGGAACAGCAGCCATAATTTAACATGGGGAAAAAAGCTTTTGAGTTGGGGAACAAAAATAACAATACATAAAATATCTCCTGATTTCCTGCTGCTAGCAGCTGAACATTAGGAAAGATATAAAAATTTGAAAGGTATCTAGCCATGAATTGTACTTTTTTACTTCTGAGCCTAAAGGGAGCTTTTATTCCCTTCCCTGGTGGATTAGAGGGTAAAGCGTCCGCCTGCAATGCAGGAGACCCGGGTTCAATCCCTGAGTTGGGAAGATTCCCCTGGAGAAGGCAATGGCAGCCCACTCCAGTACTCTTGCCTGGAAAATCCCATGGATGGAGGAACCTGGGAGGCTGCAGTCCATGGGAGCCCAAAGAGTGGGACACAACTGAGCGACTTCACTTTCACTTCCTCACCTCCTGGGCCACACATCTTCTATTTCTTCAGGATGCCCCCACTTTATGCATATTATCATTGGTCCTTCCAGCAGTTCCAGGATATAGGAATCTTTTCCCAGGTTTTACAGAAAAAGACACTGAAGCTGGCAGAGGATAAGTAATATCCCCAAGGTCACCTTGGTGGGTAAACGACAGGGCCCAGTTGGAACTCATATCTATGTGGCTCCTGTTTTGAGAGGTACCCAGGATTCATTCTAAATAGGCATGACAAAATGACAGACACAGAGACAGGCTTCAAAAGAAGAAGAGTATTACAGTTTTCGAGAGGAAGGTGTCAGCTACAAATTGGCACTTAACAAGAGCTTTGCCAACAACTGAACAACAAAGACATTCTCCATCTACCTCTAAAGATTGAACCCTGCTATAGCTGGTGACCTTCCACAACCCCTGACGGAGTGCAGGGTGGAGTGAGGCGCTCTGCTCCAGGGAATCTGGTGGGACAGGTCTTTAGATAGTTGGATGTCTTTAGGAACAGATTTTATGATCTCAATCCTTGCATCTACAGAAGCACTAAATCCCTTCATGGTGACATCACATCCTCATGACTAACAAGAAAGCTTTTGT